CCTAGGAAGATTACTCCACCATAAGCCTGTTCCCCACCATCGGAAAATCCGTGAATTTGAGGCACACCCACTGCATTGCTTGGTTTTAGCTTGCGGTCAAACTGAAATGACAAGAGATCATTTATGGTCTGAACATTCTCTAACCATGTTTGCTGAATACTCTCGGGGAGGATGTCGTCCCAGCTGTAACCTGAACTCCATAGTGCTTGCAGATCAATTCTGAACTTGATAGTAACGGGTGAAACAAGTCCGATGGGATCCCAGAGTTGAGCGAGAAATTTCAGGCAGTTTCTTTTGGAGAAGCCCTCCAATAGACCAACCACGTTTTCTTTCTTGAAGGTAAACTTACCTTCTTGTTTATCCCATTTGTGGCCAAGCAGATCTGTAAAACTTTCACCGCCAGACTGATCGATTTCAGAGCAGTTGGAGTGCCACACCTTAATTTGAAACTTGCCTTTTCCGAGGATGGTGTAAATTTCTTTCGTTATTTTCTTGGCTTCTGTTGAGTTGCTTTTGGAGCCCGCGATATCGTCCACGTACGCGTGATCTCGCAGTTCTTGGGCTGCGTCCGGAAATTCGACTTGTGAGACTTTGGCTAAGTAATTGATGGCGTTTGAGGCGATGTCTGGTGCTGGCTTGTCGCCGAAATTTAGTCTGAGCCACTGAAAGACTGAGGGCGTTTCACTTTTGTCGCTTCTCCACAAGAACGAATGGAAAACTTGGTCGTCAGGGTTCACTAGGACTTGATTAAACATTTTCGGATATCACCCGAGTAAGCCACTTCGTTCCATCGCCAGCCCATAAGTACATTGGGAAGACTGTTAATGTAATTAGGTCCTTTCTCGAGGTGATCGTTCAGCGAAAGACCGTCGTGACCCTTTGAAGACGCATCGAAAACAAGGCGGACCTTAGTGGACTTCTCTGGTGTGAAGACTGCTTGTAACAGCAGATACCATTCAGGTTGGCTGTGATCAACTTCTTCTGTAGGAACTTTAATTATGAAGTCTTGTTGCAACAGCTTTTGGACTTCGTCATTTACGATTTCGAAGCATCCTTTTCTCTGGAACGATTTCTCGGCAGACTGCATTCTTTTGAGGGCAATATCATAATTGCTGCGTTTTGGGGGTCCATTCTCATTCCAAGGCATTCTTACTTGGATTCTCCCATCTACCAATGTAGTTGAATCAGACAGCGACTTGACGAACTTGTTTTCTCGTAGCACGTTCTCACTA